CCGAGGAACCTCACCATCTCGAACACGTTCTCATCGCTCCTATCCTCGCCATACACGTCGAAGTCTGGGGTCGCGACTGGGACGAGCCCTCCTACCATATCATTCAAGAACACCCGCTCGTGTGACACATCCTCTCCCGCGCCCGCGTACTTCACCCGAGCCCGTCGTAGCATAAGTCCCCCTGGTCCCATCGATAAGGGCCACCCGTCCGCTTCCCGGACTCGAGGACCTGGATGGGGCGGTGGCCCGACTGGAAGCCCAACCAGCGCCATAATGGACGCACGTGACTGCCACCTGCACGACCGAGAAGAACAGGCAGACCAGCGCGCACACGATGAGCTGCCAAGCCTGGTGACCCCCGCTGCTTGGAGCCGACAGCGCCTCACACTGACAGTGACAGTGGCAGATCGGCTCCGGGATGTCTGGGCATTTTACCTCTGCCCTTCCCGCCGCTCGCGCGGCCTCCGCGGCGTCAGAGAAGACTCCGCGTAGCACCCAGGCCGAGAAGGCGGTGACCACGCTGCTGGTCGCGACCTGCACAGACACGGTCGAGGCGAGAAAGGCCCAGAGCATTCACGCGCGGCGATGGTCCGTGCGCACCTGATGCGCAGCAAAAACCATGAGGGTTGAAAACGGCCGCGGGGAAAAACGATCAATGCTGTGCCCCGCGCTCTCATCATCGCCAGCAGCGTCATCCTCCGCATCAACATCATCAGCATCATCATCGGAGCCATCAGCATTGTTGTCACCATCAGTGTCATCATTATCAGTATCGTCGTCCGCATCATGATGAGCATCAGCTTAATCATCATCAGTATCGGTATCGTCATCATGATCAGCAGCATCGTCATCATCAGCATCAGCAGCAACGGCCGCAGCAACACCATCACCAGCCGCAGCACCATCATACTCATCAGCATCGCCATCATCAGCATCAGCATCATCATCAACATCACCATCACCACCATCATCATCAGCATCACCAGCATCATCATCAATGTCCTCGACATCGTCAGCATCTTCATGAGGATCCGTTGCATTATCAGCATTATCAGCATTACCCGACTCGCGTGCATCATCATCCGTATCAGCATCAACCACAACAGCAGCATCAGCATCGTCACCATGATCATCGTCATCAGCAGCAACAACCATATCATCATCAACTACACAATCGGAATCCTCAACATCATCCTCATCATCAGTTGCATCATCGCTACCATCATCGTAGTCATCATAAGAATCATAATCCACCGACCCCTTGTGGGTCTCTTGGCGCGTGAGATCATCCCCCCCTCCCCCCATAATCCCCCCCAGGGACCCCAAACGGGCAATTTGACCCCCCCCCTGGACGAGCTCGACCCCGTACCGAACGCGCCACGGGGGAGCGGAGGGCTCCAAAACTCGCCAAGAAGGCACCAAAACGCTCCCCAGACGGTCCCTGGGGGCCACGATTCGCCGAAATATCGCCCCTGGACGCCCACGATGGCCTCAAGGCAGCCTCTGAAGCTGCCAAGACGCCCCAAAAGGCCCCCAAGATGCGCCCCAAGAGGTTCCCAAGAAACAACCATGGTCCCACTCCCTCAGAAAAGAATAAGCATGTTTCGCATGCTCGCCTATTCGGTTTCCACAACGTCCCAGACGGGCAAACCTTCAATATCGCCCCCAGACGGCCAAAAGGGCCCCCCAAAAGGATCGAACAGGGTCCAACAACAGCCCACGAAGCCCCCAAGACAGCCCAAGAGGGCCCCCAGACGGCTCCAAGACGGAGTCCAGAGGGCACCTGTTCGAGCCTTCGGCTCCAAGACGCCCCCAGGCTGCCCCGAGAACACCCCGAGAGGCCCTGAGGGATCCCCAAGAGAACCTCAAAAGCCTCCAAGAAGCCCCCAGGAAGCCCCCAAGAGGCCCCAAAACTTGGCCCAAGATGCCTCGAGGCGGCCGGATATGGCCTGCAGACAGGCCAAACTGCCACCAAAAGGCCACAAAAGAGCACCAAGAGGTACGATAACAACAACGCAGCAACAGGAACGATGTCGAGCGCCGTGTCATGATTTGGAGACGCCTCGTGAAATGCAGCCCTGGAGGCGCAATAATTTATATAGGGGTCGGCGGATGTGGTATGAGCCTATATAATCATCGCCATCGTCAGCATCATCATTGTTACCAGCATCACCATCACCACATCATCCCCATGTCATGATCGTCAGCATCACCATCATCAACATCACCATCACCACCAGCATCAATAGCATCATCATTATCACCAATCTCAGCATCCTCGTCATCATCATCGTCGTCGCCGTCATTGTCATCATCATCAGCAGCAGCATCATCATCATCGTCAGCATCAGCATTATCATTGTCATCGTCATCACCATCGCCCATGAAGGCTTCACAGACTTCGACGACGCACCACAAAACCCAAGACAGCCTATGTGTCAGACGTGACAGCAAAAATGTATACCCAGCTCCCAGGTCCCCCACGACGGCCCTACGAAAAGCGCGCCACGTGCCACGGCTCTTCGAAGGCCGAAGAGACAAGAAGCCAGACGTTGGAACCTCCGTGCTCCCTCGTGCACAGACCGAGAAAGCTGGGCTGGCACGGTGGCGGGAGTTGCCGCAGGCAGCTGGATATTAAACTCGATCCACCATTTGTTGTAATGTCTACCAAGATTCCATGGATTCCACTTCGTGTCCGCATCACCATCCATAGTCATAGGCCCCTCTTGAGTAGGGTAAGCTGCTACCCAGCCAACGACCCAAGACGTGTCTTGTAACCATGAGGCTGTCACCATGCCGCGCTTCTTGACGTTGGCGAACTTCTCGTCGAACGTGTCAGTGCCCAAGCTTGTCGAATTGATATATCCACTGCTGTTTGGCATTCCCTGGGTCATGGACACCACATGCAGAGCGGCCCCGCCTCCGATGAAAGACGACAACAAGGGGGCGGCGACCAATAGAGAGCGGGCCATTGTGACGGAGCAGCCCGACCCGCAATCAAACAGAAATAGTTCGAGGGTGCGCTCAGTGACGCAGGGGCTCCGGCTGCAGGAGCGGTTGCTGAAGGAGAGTTTACAAATGCTTGAGCCAAACTGCTATGGACCCAAGACGGCCCCTTGGGACGTGTAGGTGGGCACTCGGGCCGTCCTGGAGCCTTCTGGGGGGGGGCCTCGAGGAGGCTTCGGAGAGGCTCCAGGAAGGGGAAGGGACGCTTAGGTCAGGGTGCCCTTGAGGGGGGGCCCTGGGGTCAACGAGCCCAGGAGATGATTCGGCTGTGACTTGATTCGGCTGTAGTGCTGTAGTGGTGCAGCGCTTCGGCAGCAGGTTTCGGCGGTCGCTTGTGAATTGCCAGTTCTGGTTATCCTAGCTGCCGCAGTACTGGCGTGGTCAGTGTCGATGCTGCAGCCGTCCTCGGTGCAGCCACTGTCTCTGTGGATGACTGTAGTAGCCGACATCGGCGTCGACGTTGCCTGCTACGTGATGCAGCGCGCACCATTGCAGTCTAGTGCAATGAAACGAAACGTTCGAAAGGGCACGGGGGAGAGAAGACGGAGGTAATGGAAGATGAAAGGAGGATTTGGGTCAGAAGGAGTAGGATGAGCACGGAGGGGTCTGACAGAACAGGGAGGATCGCCTTGGGGAGGGGTGCTGGCCAAGATGGGGTAGTTCCAAGATAGCCCACGTTGGTCCCAAGACGGCCCAAGAAGCGCCCGAGACGCCCCATGAGGGTTCCAAGAGGACATCGAGAGGCCCCTGAAGACGCGAACATCAGTGACTTGGCTTGGGTTTCTGGACGATTTGGGCAGTACCGCCTTTTCGAGCTGCCGACCGCCCTGAGCGGCCCAAAAGGCCCCAAGATCGCACCAAAGACGGAACAAAAAGCCTCCAAGCGGGTCCCCGAATGGCCCAAGATGGCCCTAAGACGGCACAAGAGGCCTGCATGACGGCCCCGTCATGAGGGCCTCATCTCCAACGATCTCCTCGACACCAGTCCTGCCTGCCTTACCGTTCCCCATGGGCACGAGCACATCACCATGCAGCCACCGTGATGCGAAATGGGCCGGCGGCCAGGCGCTTCGAGAAATGCAGTGGGCCGGCGGCGGCTCGCCGTGGGCGCCTTCGATGCCTGCCGCTCCCTCCAGGGGAAGATAAAGCTGCGCAACGCACAAGCTGACAGAGGTCCGCGCAGAGTCCTGGGTCGGCGCTGGACCCCCCCCCCCCCTGTCGCGCGGAGCGCACAGGGGCGGCGCTGGAGGCGCAGCCGGGCGAATCCAGCCGCACATCCAAGAAATCAGCCCGAACGTTCGAAGGTTCATTCCCCAAACGGTGCTTGCGCTGTCTGGGGTTCTTGCTTGCGCTTCTCATGGATTGGATCTGTGTCCCGAGGATCCGCCATTTTCTAGCCCACTGCCACCCCGTGCCCGCCAGCAGGGGCGCCCCGAGAAAATGCAGACTTGCCCTTCGAAACAACGACCGCGGAGACGCTCGTACATCGCACGGCTCACATATCCACAGTGCCGTCTTACTTTCTGTATGGGCCCCACGCTGGCAAACGCGCTCGCGCCACTGCCTCTTGCTACAGCTGCAGGGGGGCACCCCGCAGAAGCGAGGCTGCGCCCTCCTCCTCCTCCGCCTCCGCCTCCTCCTCCTCCGCCTCCGCCTCCTCCTCCTCCTCTCCCCCCAACCCCTCCTCCCGCAGAAGCCTCCAGGCCGGCGCCCTGTCCCAGGCCGCCGGGGGGGCCCCTTGGCTACCTGGCGCGGCACCTCCTCGCAGACGCCAAGATGGCCCCCAGGACGGCCAGCGCGCCCACAGGAGACAAGGCAAGGACAGGGACAAGATCGGACAGGGATAAGTTGGCAACCTCTGAGATTGTCACCACATTGTCATCGAATTGTCATCCAATTGTCATCGTCGTCGTCGCCATCAGTTGTCATCAGCTGTCACCGAAATTGTCATCGTCGCCGTCATCACACAGCCACGACTGTCATAATCGTATACACCGGGAACCTCTGAGATGCGGCAGTTCTGGAAAATGATCGGGCGCCGCGGCCTTCGCGGAGCGTTCCGGAGCGCTCTGAGCGCGTTCGGGCACGCCCTGGAACGATCGATTCCTGCCCCAGCCCCGCCCGACCACAGGCGGCCACGGAGCCGGCCCCTCCTCTTTTTGTCCTTTGAAGCAGAAGGGGAGAGCAAGGTGCCACCAGAACCGGCGTACCCTCAGTAAAGGGGAAATCTGCGGAAGGTGCGTGGCCCTGCTCACGTCGCCTCTGCTCGGCAGCGCGCGGTCCTTCTGCTCCGCGCGCCGCGCCCCAAAAGCGGCAGGAAAAGGAGACGAAGCCGCCGAGGACGGAGAAAGCCTTGGGAGAAAACCGAGGGGAAAAAAAGCAAGCGAGGACCGGGCGAGGAGACGGGCGAAGCAAAAGAATGCCGATGAGGGCACATGTGAACCACTGGCGCCCATGGTGTGCATAACGGCCCTCGCGTGGCTCAGTGGAGCTGGAGAAACCTCATGCCAACTTCGCGGTGGCAACAGAACGCGCAGAAGTGTCGGTGTTCTGAAGAGCTGTGCGCAAGGCCACTAGCTTCTTGCATTCAGCTGGCTGCGCGGTTGCGTCCTGGTGGTCGTCCTCTCCCAACAAGCCCCCCACGGGGAAGCCAGCGTGCCGCAGATGTTTAACGTAGAAGTTCAGATACAGGATACCGCCTTGCGTTCGCCCATGGGCAACTTTGACCTCGACGGAGCCAAGAGTGAACCATTTTGAATTCTCATTGACACCCCTGTGCGAGTCGAAGTGGTACCCTCCTGCTTGCTTAGCCTCTGCCCACAAACCTGTAACATTCAATGCTTGGAAATACAAATCCGCGCAACTGCCACCAAATCGGCGCGCCTCGGCCTGAACGCGAAGCAATGAGTTTTCGGCACTGGTTCCACGAGGAATGTTGATTAGAACATGGCTGCCCGTCTTCGTTAAGTCGAATTGTTCCCCAAAAATATTATGCAGGTGTGGATCTCCAGTGGCAGCAGCGCTATTTGCTGGATTGGGCGTCGGGCTGGGCGTCGGGCTGGGCGTCGGGCTGGGCGTCGGACTTTGCGTCGGGCTGGGCGTCTGACTGGCCTCAAGTTGAAACGCGATTTCCCGAATATATGGTTGGTGACCAGTGCCTGTTCGTGTGATCACCAATCGAAGGTGTTGCACAGGGGAACTATAAACGATGGCAAAGTCCTGCGCGCTACTAGTTCCAATGGCCACTGATCCTAATGAAGCAACAACCGTGTTGAATGCTCCGCCTTGCGTCGTCGACGCGTACAACACAGCCTGTTTTACATCATGTGTCGTATCGCCCCAATTTTGGATTCGAATGCCGTGCACCGTGTACTCCGAGCCGATCCGCCACCGTGACCCCTGGTACGTCCAGGCGTGCTAGAACGCCAAGTGCTGTCTGGTAGGGGTATGTCATCTTCTAGCCCCCCCCCCTCTCGTCGAACTGGGTTGCATGACCTGCCTCCGTCCCGTGGCCACAATCCCTAGCAAGACAACAAATTCGCGCTCCCGAGGCCAGCATATCTTCTAGACGGCCCAGTCTGGCTCCAAGACGACCCACTTTGGCCTCCAGACTGCCAAGATGGGCTCAAGACGGCCCAAGAGGCCTTCGAGACGTCCGAAGAGGGCATAGAGAAATACATGTCAGTGATGTTCGTCCAGGTTTTCTATGCGTTTGGGGTTCTCACCTGTTTGACCCTCCGACGTCCAAAGACTACCGAAGAAGCTCCCAAGACTGCCCCAAGACTGCCCCAGCACGGCCCAACAGGGCCACGAGAGGGCCCCAAGACGGCCCAAGAGGGCTCCAAGACGGCCCAAGAGGCGCCCACGACTGCCCAAGAAGGCCCCCGAGAAGGGTCCAAGACGGGAACACAATCCGACAATGCGACCCTTCCGCCGCAAGAAGTCTCAAGAGGCCCCAGGAGGCTCAAAAGAGGGCCCCGAGAATGCAAACAAAAAGCCTCGAGGGGCAAACATCATTGATTCCTCGATGTGCATCAATGTGTTTTGGGGGGTTGTCGCCTTTTCACGTTTCCGGCGCTCTAAGGCGGCCAGAGAAGCCCACAAGACTGCCCCGAGGCGGCTCAAGAGGCCCCCAAGGCCCCAAGACGACCCGACAGGGCTCCAAGACAGCGCCAAGGGCGCCGAAGACGGCCCCAAAGGGCCCCAAGACAACCCCAAGAAAGGGCCCACGAGGGGGAACACGAGCCCACAATTCGAGCCTCCCACCCAACGAGGCCACCAAGAGGCCCAGAAGGCCTAAAATCTGCCCCCGAGAGGCCCACAAGAGGCCCAACGACCGCCCAAACGAGGCTCATGACAGCTCCTGAACTGAAGACGGAAGAACGTGTCACATGTGACGGCACGCCTCACCCTCCTCCGCCTCCTCCGCCTCCAGCTCCTTCATCGGCATCATAGTCGTCGTGGCTGTCGCCGTCAGCATCATCATCATCAGCATCATCATCAACATCACCATCATCATCATCATCAGCATTGCCAGCATCATCATCATCAGCATCATCATCATCATACTCATCATCATCGTCACCATCGTCATCATCAGCAAAAGCATCGTTATCAACATCATCATCAGCAGCATCATCATCATCACCCGCATCATAATCAGCAGCATCATCACCATCATTCGCATCACCATCGTCATCATCAGCATCGTTATCATCAACAACACAAGCAGCATCGCCACCGTCATCGTCATCATCATCAGTAACAGCAGCATCGTTATCATCATCAGCATCAGCATCATCATCAAAAACATCCTCATCGTAATCGTCAGCATCTCCATCATCAACAGCATCGTCACCACCATTTCCATCACCAGCACCACCAGGATCTTCATATGTATCTTCATTCGTATCATCATCCGCATCACCAGCGTCATCATCATCAGCATCATCATACACATCAGCATCATCATCACCAGCATCATCGCCGTCATCAGCAGCAACACCATTACCATCAGCACCATAATCATCAGCATCATCAACATCATCATCATCAGCATCCGCATCATCATCAGCAGCATCATCACCATCATTGTCATCATCATCAGCATCGTCAGCATCAACAACAAAAACAGTATCGTCATCATCATCATCCTCATCAACATCCGCGTCATCGTTATCATTATGGACATCCGCATCACCATCAGAAACATCATCATTACCATAGCCGTCAGCATCGTCATCATCATCAACATCGTCACCACCATCACCATCATCAGCATCACCTGGATCCTCAGCCGTATCATCATCATCATCATCATCTTCATCATCATCATGATTGGTAGCATCGTCAGGATCACCAACATCAACAGAAGCAGCCGCAGCAACATCATCATCGCCAACCGCGACAACATCATACTCATCATCACCGCCTCCACCATCACCAGCAGCATCGTCATCATCATCAGCATCCGTATCTTGGTCATCGTCCGCATCGCTATCAGGATCCGTACCATTACCAACGTCGTCAGCCGTATCAGAAGCGCCATCCGCATCAGCAGCATCATCAGCATCATCAGCATCATCACCATCAGCATCGCCATCGTCATCAGCATCATCATCAACATCATCACTATCATGATCTACCCTACCCCTTGGCGAGGAAACCTTTTCAGACGCGCAGCGTGGCAACGCGGCAAAGTGCAAGGTTAGAGGCGCGAGCTGACGGACAGCCGCCTTGGGCGGCTGCAAACAGTTACAGTTTGGCCTGGCGGGGCCGGGAGATCCCCCCCAAGTTAAAAGAGAGAGAGAAAGAGAGAAAGAGAGAGAGAGAGAGAGAGAGAGAGAGAGAGAGAGAGAGAGAGAGAGGGGGCAGGGCGGGGTTCGGGATGGCACAGCAAAAGCCTTGAGGGTTGAAAACGGCCGCGGGGAAGAACGATCAATGCTGCGCCCCGCGCTCTCATGATCTACCTCACCCCTTGACCAGAAAACCTTTCCAGACGCGCAGCGTGGCAACGCGGCAAGTTACAGGGTTAGAGGCGCGAGCTGACGGACAGCCGCCTTGGGCGGCTGCAAGCAGTTACAGCTTGGTCTGGCGAGGCCTGGAGATTTCCCTTATCCACGACGTGGACTTCTTAAAAGGCGCTTATAAATTAATTCAGATAGCACCCCAGTCAGTTCTTTAGGATAGGCTTTAGCACGTAGAGTATTCCAATTTCTCGAACAATCTTTTCCCTCCAAGACGACATGGCGGCAGCCTGGGCGGGAACATGCACCCTTTGACATAAAACATCTGCACTCTGCAAGAGAGGGATCAAGTCCATGGGATAACAGGGTTGAACTCTTTTTCCAAGCCTCTGCGTACTGACAGAAATCCAAATGCACAAAAGCGGGAGATAGAGCCTCGGCCCCAAAGGAAGTCAGCTTCGCGAGCTTTTTCACAGCGGGGGCCTTCCAGACACGACTCGCGCGACGGTTCTCGATCGCCCAGGGGATCGCAGCCTTAGACGCGGCACGGCAACATCGCACAACAAACCACATCAACTGATTTCCTTCCTTGGCTTTCTTGGCATCTTTTTCCCCCAGGCCCGGGAGTCCCATGATGAACTTACCTTCGCCCCGAAGTGGCCCTGGACCAGTTCCGCCCCATCGCCTCGCCCCGCTCCAAGTATTGCAGGGCAGCCCGAACCGCAGGCAGCCAACCCTCCTGCTTCTAATCTGGGCGAGGACGCGCTGCTGGTTTCTCTTATCCAGCAGGTTCACATTATTCAATATGTCCAAGCCCTCAGCTCGGACGCCGTGCCTTCTCAACGATGCAGTTAAGCGGCCTGATCCTGAGGAGACCTCGAGGCAGCCTCGGCGACCAACAAGCCCCCATCGAGCTCCACCCGGGCGCGGAGCCGGAGACCTGCGCCGAGCTCTCGTCACTTCCTTGCCGCCTTCGGCGGCTGCAGGGCGGCCTTGCGCCCCATCGGCACGTCGCCCAGGACGGCCGCCACTTTTGCACATGGTCGAGGACGTGAGGCACGACCGTCGCGAGCATGTTTTGAACTTGTCCGATCTTGGTATATCGACGCACGGAGCTCTCTGTCTGCCACCTGCCGCGGGCCCTCACCGTGGCCCTGCCCCTGCGCTCCCCGACGAGGTCGTGGGCGGCGCCTCCGTGCCGGCACTGGTAAAGCGGCAGGCGATCGCGAAGTCCACGGTCGAGAGCAGCTTTGTTCATCAGTTCGTTCACCTCCTTCAGGTGGAAATCGAACAGGAAGGCGCCCCTCGCCTTGCCCCGACCCCGCCAGTGCAGCTCCACGCCGAGGCTGGGCAAGTGACCTTGGTCGATGATGAGGCTGTTGTCGAAGCCCCCGACCTTGTCTGGCACCTTCTCGTCGGACCCCCTGATGATCGCCGTGCATTGGCGGAAACCGCGCCCCGCCCCCGCCACCGGCGGGACCGCATCCTTTGCTCGAAAGCTCAGCCCCTCCGACGGCCTCAGGTAGCCCTCGAAGCACACCGCCAGGTACAACGCCATGTCCTGCCTTCCCTGCTGCGCCAGGTGCATCGCCAGCGCCGCCAGGATGCCCCAAGGCAGCGGCAGCAGGCTGATGGCAGGAGCGACCTTCCTCCACCCCTTCAAAGACCTCTGGGCGCGCACCAGCGACCAGATCTGGCCGCTGTTCGCGCGGGCCTCCGCGAACTGGACGGCCGCGATGGTCTTCTCCGCGAGCGAGGGGCCGTGCCCGTCCAGGAACTGCCCGTCGAAGTAGTCCACGAGCAGCAAGTCGGTCTGCGCCGAGATGGCCGTGGGCAACGCGTTCTCCGTGCAGAAACTCCTTCAAATCGAAGTGGTAATATTGATTCATCCTGTCCGAGACACAGCGCTCCTCCGGAGCCTCCGCCAGCGCCGTCAGCAGGCGCTTCTCCTTGGGAGACGCGCGGTGGTTGCGCTCCCTCTCGCCAGCGCCCCCAGCCCGGAGGCTCCGGGAGCCCGTCGGCGCCGCCGCTTGCGCACGGGAGAGGGCGCCAGCTGCCTGCTTCCTGCCGACCAGCTGCCTCTCCTTGCCCACGCCCGGCAGCCGCGCGGGCCCGGCGGCGAGCGTCCGCCCGCTC